TGAATATATAAGATAACTTTGACCAATCTTCCTAAATTCAGCAAAAGTTATAACTTTAAAATAATTTTCTTGCTTGTTAAATTTTTAATGCCAGAAAATTCACATTTTTGAGTGCAGAAAGGTCAATAATTGATTATTCGAAGCAATTTGAAACTTTTTCTTAGTCACAATTTTAAAGTGTCTTTTTTTAAACAGGATAATACTTTATTTTGTCCCATGATTTATTTGGATAAAAACATTGGAGGGAAAACTTCGATGATGTGATTATTGATTGAGACACAAATTTCAGTGCAGAAAGGTCATATTAAATGTACTGTAGCGCCAAAAAAAGCATATTGACCCCCATTTTTTGTTTTGATTTTTAATAAAGCTATGTGTGTAGAAACTAAAAATATACATGACAAAAAAAGTTTAAGACTTTAAATATCAGGATCCAACCTCGTTAAGGTAGGTCGTGGGTTTGCTTTTGTCATCAATTTTGGTACACAATTTCGACGATTCGAGGTTGTTTGGTGCACATTTGATTATGACGTCAGTTACGTCACAAAGGCGACGTTGTGTTGTTTCCCGTATAATTCTCTGAAAATAACTTCATCATTAGTCTACCGGTACGAATCAAGTAGATTAATTCAAAGTGCATGTTACTGTACGTAAACCTCGTACACGTATGAAACAAGATCGGGTATCATTAAATGACAGCCTGAATTCTGATGTGAGTATGTGTAATGTCTTAGAACAAACTAAATAGGATAACAAATGAAAGGAATAATTTATAATGTAAGTGTTACTAAACTGCTAAAAGTCAATCAAAATGAGTCAGCGTAAAAGTTATGGTATGTAAAAAGAAAATTATCGTAAATTTTTTAGCCAAAAACTTGAAGGGTTGTATGTGCGCACGTAATTTGCACCTCAAAGGGAAGTGTATATTACACCATGTTTGCCGGGGCGAAACTTTTCAGGATGGAATCAATCCTCAACACTAAAAACGGAAGAAATTTTACAGTACATGTATTTTCCTGTTATTTATTATTATTATTTCAATCATCATAATTATTATTTGTTTATTTTGTATTTGAATCTCGTGTAGTCACTATGTATATGCAGGCTAACAAATCTTGAAATGCATTTAAAAAATAAATTTTGACAAACACCGGGACTATCAGACCTATATGACACTGTAAACAATTTACAAGTATCAAGTACATTTTTTCTATATAAGAAAAGCTCTCTGTGTATAAGCTAAATGCAAGTGTTTTACATTTTGCGTATGGAAATTTGATTGAGAGAATTCGAAATTAAGAAATGTTTGAGAGTTACGGCTATATACCAGCTTGCGACTAATCTAGAAAGAACATTGCCGATAACCTCCCTCCTCCCCATTTTTTCTCAGTATTGAGATGTTTTTCCTCGCCGTTTTCGAATGAAGTGATCAAATTCATGTGTTATGCCTGAAATCTTACTGAACATGAACATCCTAAAAATACATGAATTAATATTTTATCACTCGCCGTGTTGTCGCAGCATGTTAATTCTAATACACTAGAAATGTCTATAATAATATACCGTTCATTCTGACTTTGTGGGCAGAATATGAATTTCACAATACTAATGTACAGTGTAAATAAGTTCCTGGTCATCCTTACATGTTTCCGCAATTAGTGAAATGATGAATAAAATTACATTTTGCAACTATGTAACCTTTTAGATCTTGCATATTCCAAATGTAAAGATATTTATACTCGTATGTAAACTTGATTACCTTCAACACATGACCTTGTAGTCATAAATAACGCCATAAACGCAACATTTTGGCAATATAAAAGCAAACTTTGAAATTATTTAGCAAAAAAACTAGCGAGAAGACATATTGATTTTTTTATCTCAAAAGTTTTAATTTTACCTCATCAGGATATTTTGAAATTGCTGACTAATTCGTCTACGTCTTTAAAAAGTTATCCAACCTTTTTTTAAAGAAACTCTTTTCGCAAAATTGGCTTAAAAACGTCATTTTTCTATATATTTCAATAGTAGAGCGTAAAAATAGTACTAAAAACTATACTGCGTTTACAGTGATACAGCATTAAAACTACGTAGACAAATTTAATAAAAATTACAGATAAAATACTATAAATTCTAAGGAACATTTTATCAAATTTTCAGGATATGTTTTCTCGTAAGAATTTTTAAGCAGTAAACCCGCGACCTACCTTAAGATGAAGTGCTAGTTGTTTCTTTTTTTTTCTCTATTTCTTTTGTTCTTATGACTTTCTAATTAACCTAGAGGAAGGGACAGGGTGTCCCAAAAAATTGACAGTTTCTATTGTTCGTCTCCATGGTCATTTTCACTTTTAGTGATATATACATATATCTATATATATATAGAGAGAGAGAGAGAGAGAAAGAGAGATTGACATATTTATGTAAAAGAGATTTATATATATATATATATATATATATATATATATATATATATATATATATATATATATATATATATATATATATATATATACAGAAATATATAATATAAATCCACACACGTAGTCGTATATCAACAAAAAACTCCTGAAGATTGAAAATGAAACCGGTAGAGTTTATTTCGGTGTTGTGATTTTTTTTGATATATATATATATATATATATATATATATATATATATATATATATATATATATATATATATATATATATATATATATATATATATATATATTACTAATAGCTTACTATATTTTCTTCAATAATTTATTATTAATCTTCCCTAATATCAATTTAAAATGTACATTTCTCATTCCATGCATAGATATGTATTTGTTCTAGTGATGGGAAATCGGAAAAAAATCATAATCGATTATCGGTAATAATCGGTTGTGCATAATCGATTAATAATCGATTATAATCGAATTTTTACCTTTAATGAAATAAATATTTAAAAAAAGTTGAACTTATTCAGATTTAAGTTCAGACTTTTACAAAAAATATTCATAAATATTATTTTTCTTTTTATAAACTGGAAAATAAGAATTGATTTCTTTACTTTTAATTAAAAAATCTCATTAAAATATTATGACCTGGCATTTATTTAAAAAGAATTCTATTGAATGGGAATATTACTTATAATAGTCCCACCTTGCATTACATGTATTTATTTCTTGGAATTACGAGTTTCAAAAGTAGTTATTAAGAATTTGAACTTCTATTTCCTAATTATAATTACGTTTACAGATCGTCTGTACTGTTAATGTTTTCCTGTGTCTAGTAAAACCTCGTAATATCGTCCGTTTTCTGTTACTAGACTGACCCTATATTCAATCATGGCGGTGAAAATATCAACATGGCATGGATACCTCGATATTGTAAACATTCATCACTACTTTGAAACTCTTAGCACGTGGATTTGGTTATAAAATTAAAGAATAAAAATATTATTTTTTGGCAGCGATGTCGGCGACATTTATTTTGTAATCGATTAGTAGCATCGAAGAGCTTCTAACGACCGACAATCGATCGTCGGCGACAATCGGTACATCACTAAAATTTTGTTCTTAAATTAACACTACCTATCGCTTTCTTAATGGACAGGGAACTGGTCTTCATATCGTTTTCAGTAATATAAAAAAAATCACAAGGAAAATACCTAAATGCAAATTTCTTATGAAATTCAATATCCTAGTAGGAAAAAATAAATATTTTTATGCACGTTCGTTTAACAGTGTAAAACTTAATGCTTCCTCATCAAATCCCGAGAGATAAAATGTTTCAAAGTAATAAGTTTCAAATTGACATTTCATGAAAATTATTTCCATTCAACCGAAAAATACAGTTGAAAAAATACTTGTAATTTTCATGTTTTCCTAAGGGAATATTACAATCTTAAAAGCAAAGATTACTTTTAATATGAAGTATTCAGTGACATTTTACCTTTAAAGTGATGAAAATCATTCTGTTTAAATGCAAAGGAGAATAATATTTGATAAATTTGAACATTATAAATATGTTATGTATTTTGCTTTTTATTATTGAAGAGGCATCTAATGAGCAAAATGTTTTTAAAATAGGTCTTAATTTTAACTAGATTTCACACCTTAATTAATATAGCCATTGTGATAAATTAGGGATTTAAAAAAAAAAAAAAAAAAAAATAGACAGACAAGTTTCTTATACAAACGTGTAAAAATGTGAAGAAATCCGAAATCAATGAAAGAAATAGATGACTTAATCATATTATTAGATCACGAAAAGTGCTGCACCTTAACGCAAAATTGCATGAACTATTTGTCATTGTATGGAATGGCCTCTTGATTGTGCTTTTGAGATTATAGACATATGCTTACACCTTAAGTAGTTACATAAAAAAAATGCATGCTGTTGTATTACCTGCAGATGAGAGTAATGTGATCGTCTTTTTTACGATTAAAAATTTTACAAGCAGCGTTCAATCCCTTAGAAATCTTTAACACTAAGGACTTGCCTCCATTTGTCAATAAAAGTTATCTGTCAAATTTGACGTTTTAATTCTGACACCAGACAATACATAATTACATTGCAAGTGATATAAATAGTTCTATCCCTTTCATCGGAGTACTACATCGCAGAGGCTCGTGGTAAGTTCTTAGATTTTATTTGATTCATTCTTATAACAAACGGTTTTTTTCCACAGAAAAAAAAACATTTCACTTTTGTATGTTTCTTTTAGGAGAGATTTTGAGTCTATTTTTCAGAAATCAAAATTGATTTTATTTGTAGTGTATCTAAATGGGAGACTTAAGTAAAGATGCCTCCCAAAAAAAAAATCAGAGTTCATTTTATACTGTTACAATTTGACTTAAACTGTACATGTATTAAGATTTGCTTGCATGTTTCTTTATTGTACGATAAAGAAGCTGAATTTCCAAAATTGAAAACGCGTTTTACCATCGTTTATTTAAAATCCATTTTAAGTGTAAAACGTTGTTTTATATAAAAAAAAATGTTGACATTACAGCTTGGATTAATATGAGTAAGGAAAAGACTGTGTTACTTATTGTACTTCTGTCCTGCCTTTTCTTACACACGTGTGAAGCATGGCTCTTTGATATCCCGCCAAAATACGTTGACAGCCCAGGAGTTTCAAAACGGACTTTTTCGGTAAGTAAAATTTGTAAGGAAAAGGATAATATTCTTATTCCTGTTTTGAAAAATATTATCAAGATGAGTAATATTAATTTGAGTTCTATAATGTCTACTTAAGTTTTATCATTTCTTTTTAAGATTAATATCAATGTTTTATACCAAATAAGGGTTCTTAGGAATAATTTCAGTTTTATAATATGTGTACTTTAGTTCTAATGAAACTTGCCTTTTTTATATTTATTATAATAGGTAATAGTAAAAACGAAAAAAAAAAACAAAACAAAACAAAAAATTGTATATCTTGAATGTTTTGGGAATAGAAGATTCCCTACATATTACATATTTCGTTTTGCCAGTGTAATATTAATGAAATGGTAGCATAATGGATTGAAATGTATTTGCATGACGCGTAAAATAGTTACTGAAGTTATATGGAAGTTTAGCTGTATAATGTTTATGTCGTAAGATTAAGATCAACTATTCAAGAGGATTTTCAGACACAAAAAAATTAACTTAAAAAAGACGCTTTGAAATGAATTCGTTTACAATTTCGATGATTCAATATGAAGACTTATTTATTTCATTTATTTGAATATTCATAGAAAACAAAGTTACATCAGAATTTTCTTCATGTGTCAAATATATAAAAATAAATTTTTAGAGCAATATATTTATTATTTTAATTAATTAAATAATCTGAATATTTTCAAATACTAATTGTGTGACCCTTTCGTTACAAAACTGAAAAAATCGTTAAAGTTATTTTGATAATCCTTTATTTCAACATGCTTAAAGGCATTTATTTTCATTATTTTCAAGGGACGGAATAGGAAAGAAACAGATAACAATTTCATCCCCAAGGTTTTTAATCAAGATGGAGCGGGAAGCAGCAATCAGCAACATTTTCAATTATTATTGTGGGTTTTAAAACAACTACAACAGAGAGAGAATATACAAATAAAACGTATGTATATAAACCTAACAATTATATGGAAATGTAACTTGAAATTTTTTTTTTTCGAAAAAAGAAAAAAAAACCCATAGGCATCTTATAATATATCTTCTCTAAAAGATTAAATAAAGAATTACATGATAATTATCACTTACGTCTCTGAATATTCTTAAAGGCGCCATTAAAGCGTAACACAAATAAGTTGAACTATTTCTCCTTCATATTTTAACTGACAGGTATACTTACTTTTGTACTGAACCAGTATATATAACCAAACCCGACACTTAAAAGCTGGCAATAGGGGCGGGGAAGCTACATGTGTAACACTACAATGGGAATAAACTGGAAAAAAATGTGATTTATTACTGGTTGAGTAAAAATTTAAATGAGATATCATGTTAAATTACATAACTCATAATCATACTAGGGTACTGATTTTTTAAACTTAATTGCTAAATCATGTGCATGTATGCTTATATATTTTAAAAGGTTTAATTTCCGTTTTATCTTGCCTTTCAGATAACGACATCGAAGAGTCCCAGTGATGATTAAAGAATCATGTCAGAATATTAATTTATGAAAATTACACGTATCTTTACCATAGAAATTTGATTCGCCTTCTAAAAGTAAATTAGTATTCTTATAAAAGTTTATGAAATGACCAGTTTTGCTTGGTTTTGTACAAAGACGATGAGCGAACAAGCTGAGAAAATTGCTCATATATCGTGAAATAAGAAAGTGAAAAATTAAATCACTATATTAAAACAATTTTCTTTGATATTTTGATTAACATTAATGTATTTTTTTAATGTGAAAAAGAGGGCAAAAATGATGATTTATTTATGCTATAATACTATTTTTTAAAAATACAAGATAATTTTTCTTCAATTTTTTTTTTTTTTTTTTTTTGAAAGTATGTAGTTAATAATTGTTTTTGTTTAAAAAAAATGGAGAAAGGATTTACTTCCAGATACGCATTTCTAACACAAAATTTTTATCTTTCCGAGAAATTTTTCAAAGGCCACATCACAAGATTTAATTGTCTCTACCTGTGTTTGTAGTGGTAAGTGAGTCAGTATCTAGGGAAAACAAAACTGCTGTACAGAATTTTTTCATTGTTTGGGTTCAAATCCGTTGAAATCCTTAAACTTTTTAAACCAAATAATAATTTTATCCACGAGAATAGCTTTGTTTGTCATAATTTCATTCATTGCAATATAAGAACGTTGCTTTAAATAAATAGTTCACAAATTGAATTTGATTTTTCGTATAGGCATTTTCCACGCCTTGCTCGCCATCGTCTTAGAATATAATGTAAATTTTTCTCAGAAATAAAAGAAAATCAGATTTTGTTTACTTGTCTGCATTTTTTGTTTGGATACAAAGCGCTCTAACCTTTTACAACAATGAATGTATACCATGTTAATTATATAAATCAATTTGCATGTATGTGCAATGAACTTTAATAAAACTACGCCTTAATTGATTTTTGGGTTTTTTTCTGTTTCTTTTTTCTTTTGTGTATTTTTCTTTTATTACATGTTTACTTGTAATAAAATTCAATATCGTACTAATCTTGCATATCTTACAGAAACTGCTAAGATTTACAACCTAACTTAACGTTCTTTCGGTAAATTCATTTGCAAGGAATGACTTATTTGTGAATACATAACACAATTAAGTGTCCTCTATGGTGGCATGTATTTCTGCCCCCTTCATGCAAGATAAATTATGTCCACATGCGAGAAAGGTATGTCAACATGCAAGATAATTCTCTACATCCAAATTTATTATGTTGACATGCAAGTTACCAATCTTTTTCAGAGAATCTGATTTTTATATGGAAAATTTTCTTACTAACGCCAGCATTGGACACCATACATGCAAAATGCAACATAAATAGTGTTGAAAAGCGACTTATGTATGTCAATTTGCGAGATACTTATCTTTAGATACGAGTTCATTATGACAATATGCTAGATATTTATGTCTTGCCTGTTGACATTAATAAATTGCGTGTCAAAATAATTATCTTGCATGCTGATATAAATATTTTGCATGTTAACATATAACTCGCATGCATACGTAAACAAAAGTATGTCGCAAGTCAACATAAGTATGTTGCATGTTGACTAAATTAACTCGAATATCGACATGAATTTAGGCATATCAATATAATTAATTTGCATGTCGACATAAATGTTGCATGCATGATGTCAGGATACCCGACTTAGTACCTATTTTAAGATCAGATTCTCTAAAACGATTAGTAATTTGAATGTCAACATAATTATCTTACAAGCAGACATAATTATCTTGTATATATACATAATTATCTTGCATGTTGACATAATTTATCTTGCATGTAAGGACGGAAATATGCCACCATAGCAGTCAGGACAACTTCTACAAATCTACTAAATACAATACATTTCTAAATAAAACGCAAAAATTTCCAAACGAAATGACTATTATATTAATTCTTTGGTTTGATCATACACATTGATAGTTTCATGTACATATAGAGAGGAGTTATAGATGCTGAAACAAGTATCAGTTCAATAAGGACATGAAAATCCCTAATGATGTTATTTTCAGTTTCTATAGATTAATTGTATCTGAATACTTTGAAGACAATGGTTCAATTAAAAATCTATCAATGACATAGAGTCATGATGTTAGAATGCAGGTGTCATGAGCGTTTCTTAATTCGAGTGAAATGGAACTGATGACAATTATCTTAACAGCAAAAATCACGAAAATTATGGATAACTATCACAATTATCATTTGTAGAAAAAGGAACAAAAAGGGGAAAAAATATTCATGAATTGAATGAACTCGTATATTTTTTTTAAAGGATAGTTATTAAGTATACTTAAAATATATATTCATATGTGAATTTTCGCAAAATTGTGAAAATATTCACATTAGAAAATGTTTCACATTAGGTGTACATGTATACCTTGTAATCTAAATTGGTTTTATAGCAAAACTCGTGTTTTTCTTTAATTTATTCATTCTTTAGGTATCGACCAACATATCACATTTCTTGTTGTGTTTAGTAGTGGTATATGAGGATATTGGATAACTTCCTCACTATACTGTCATCAAACAGATAAACTTGAAGCAGATGTGACACTCATCACTCTTGACCTAATATATAAATCAATATAAGGTTTGTACAAACATCCAATTTTTTCTTGCCTTTTTGAACTTTCATGTTGAGTCAAATTTGATTCAAAGCAAACGTGTTAGACGAAGAATCCCCAAGCAGTAAGAATAATATGCACTACAGATTTGCCATCATTTTTGCATACGAGTATTTGGAGTCGTACCTAGTGTAAACAATGTAATTCGTTCTTTCTGGGCATCTTAAACAAGAGACCCAAAAATCAACTGGGACATACATATATAAACCAAAATGCAGGTGAAAAAGTATATTGCTACATAAGTAAGGAAAGTTGACGATAGAAAAGGTGAAGTCATCACTTTTATCATAGAGTTTGTTGTAAGGTTACTATTATACATGTTTGTTTTTTTTTTAATTAAAATTTACAAATATAGAGTGTCAAACGCTGTGGTATATTTCATCTCACGTACACTGGATAGACCGAGCGTTATGGAAGTAATTATGTTCATTGATAGTTCGTCGTCGCTATTTCTACGATGTTTTTACCTGCTTTGTCTGCTGGGACCAGTACATACTGATCGTGCAATCAATTTAATTCTTTTTTCACCTCTGAATTATTGAAGACAGAGGGATGGATGGTTTTCATATTGCCCTTCAATCTCGTAGTGCGAGATTTCAAAATCAATTCGTTATTTAACTTTCAATCTGATGTGTCGAGGTCTTCTTTTTCAGGTTTGGCCCATCGCCTGGCGTAATCCTCCACAGAATATTCATAATATTTATGAAATTATAGATCTATTTACTTAGCTCTGTCCACATTTGGCACTAACACTATTCTGACTAAAATTTAAAAGTGCTTGAGCACTATTGGAAAACTAATCTCTTTTTCTCTCACAATAGCCTCTCTTGTTCTTTAAAGAACCCTTAAGGATATCCGCTCCTCAGCTAGAAAGGATAATTCTTTAATTTATTGTTGAATTCAAAAAGTCTGAAAATGAAGCTTAAAATTGAAATCTTTTTATGCAACAATTTTCATTTCACGCATCTCATTGTGATTCAAGTATTTTTTTTTTATTTTCAAGTCTAAGAAAGGGTCTCATAAAAAGTTGATATTTGTACGACATAAAAAGTATTTTTAAAATAACATTTTTAAAGAAACCCTATTCCCTTTGATCTAGCTCTAAATACTGATGTTTATTTGCATGATATGAAATTAGAATGAACAAGAAGTCTGTGAGCCAGTGCTCACTAATAATACCCCCGCTCTGATGTGAATACACAAGTTTAGTTATGGACAGACACAGGGAGTGATAATCAGGAAATTGACATCGGATTTGTACAAAAATGAATCCCACCATATGGCATGCCTAAACAAAGGATATGCTAAAATTTCAAGCATCTGCGATGAGTAGTTGCTGAGAAAACTGCGACCAGAATTTGTTATGTATGGTACGGACAGACGAACGGATAAACAGGAAGTTGACATCGGAACTGTATAAAAATGAATCCCACCATATGGCATGCCTAAACGAAGAGTGTGCTAAAATTTCAAGCATCTGCAATGAGTAGTTGCTGAGGAAACTGCGACCAAAATTTGTTACGGACAGACAGACACACAGACGGACAGACAGACCGACACACAAGGGTAAAACAGTATACACCTCTCTCCTTCAGAGCGGGGGTATAAATATGAAGATAACGAACAGTATTCAAGCTCAAAGTCCATTAAGACAATACTAATCGGGAGGAGAGCAAACACGGACCTCTTAAAACGTTAGAGGTGGGATCAGGTGCAATGGAGGAGTGAGCATCCCCTGCCGACCGGTCACACCCGCCATGTGCTCCTTGTCATGATCGGGAAAAAAGGAAAAAATCCGGAGATATATACCAATAAAATGATTTGTAGTGTTTGCAATGATAGGAAAAGCTTTATACACTATGCATTATAAAATAATTGAAGTAAACTAATTGCCATGCGTAATCTTCACATGCACTGACCAAGAGGTCACAAGTTTTAAATGTATGGCTTCTCATTGCGTGATTTTTGTCAACACATGTCGGAGTAGACTATCTAAGCCAATTGATGCCCAAAGAAAACTGCATAGGAAGGGTTTTTTGTACACTTTTTAACGGGTAAAATTCATTCGACGCTCGATAGAATTTTCAAATACAAGTGAAATATTTAGGTTACTTGCGTCCGATCTAGTATTTTGTATGCAATAATATTGTAAGTTAGGAAGAAAATAATACAAAATCAAAAGTAGTTAATTTTATTTTCGATTTTCCTGACAATTAAAAATTTGACCTCTACGTACAATTATCGTGATAATTATCTACATGCTGTTTAATGTTCATGAAAGAAATAGCAACTCGTTAAATAATAACATTAGAGAGATAAATAAACTGTTTCTTTAATACGCAAACAAAGTGGTCTTTTCGGCATTCAAAATGCATTGAATTTGAAGTAAGTTAAGACTAGCTGATTAAAACGAGCGAGTGATAAACAGTAAGACGAAATCATAGAAAGATTCGAAATGATTTTAAAGTAATTTTCCACAAAGCGCAATTATCTCGATATCGAGAAATACAATGTTTATAAAAATAGATATGCAACTTTCTTGTAATTAAGCGAATAAAATATAAATTGAAATGTACTAGCGACTTAATCAAAGATATTATAAAATAATCTGAAAGATTCAACATTTTTTTCCACTCATCACTTAGTTTGCAAAAT